GAGAGGGGAGAGAGAGAGGGGAGAGAGGGAGGGTGGGGGGAGAGAGAGAGGGGGGGAGAGAGACGAAGAGAGAGAGAGAGGGGAGAGAGAGAATGAGAGAGTGAGTGAGTGAGAGAGAGAGAGGGAGAGAAACAGACAGAGTGGATACGCCGGAAGTTTCAAAAGATCTTTGCACTAGAAGTACATAGTATACTAAAACGAAGTGACTATTCCCAGTGACACTGGGAACATTATTCTGGCCTAGACCTATAGCCAGTGGTTTCTGCGCCTATTCCCAGGGAATAGTGCTTCCATTCTAAAATGTGAAGAATAAAAGCCGGGGGTACAAAATGAAACCAGGTCGTACAGATAGGGTTAACAAGCGCGACAGGAAACGGCAATGTGTGTGTTTGTCAACATACAAGAGAAAGAAAGCCAACTGCATCCACGATGCATCTGGTTGCACAGAGGTCCGGAAATGGTGCAGACGAGACGAGATAAGAGCGGGCAGAGACAGGTAAGTAAACAGATGTACACGACGACATACATGGGCCTAACTACAGTGGTGGTTGACCTGACAAGGGACGCTGCCCTAGGACGAGGGGTAGTATATAATTATTATTAATTATATTATTATTAGCCCTTTGTTTTTGTTTCAGTAAGAGTTTTACGGCACTTGCAACACAATAGAGGTCATATAAGTGCCGAAGATTAGAGGTGTTACAAGAGAGTAACAAACACAAAAAAGAAGGAGGGGAGATTTGAGACGATAGATTTTTTTTATAGGAAAGAAGGAGCAAACCACACCAGAGCACCCGCCAACCACCCACATTAGCCTTGCAACCACATTGGGACATTCATATAATACCTAGCTACGCAGTGCACGGGTTAGGGAAACGACAACGACGATGACAACATCATCAACAACAATAACAATAACAACAACGACAACGACGACAACAACAGTAACAACAAAGACAATAAGAACAACAACAACAATAACAACAACAACAACAACGACAATGACGACAACAACAGTAACAACAAAGACAATAAGAACAACAACAACAACAATAACACAGACTAGGAGTCTGCCCATGTAGGAAATTCACGGGTCAATGGCAGAGGACTAATCCGACTACAAAAGAATAACGAACTACACTACAGAGAGAACGAGAGGGGGGAAGAGAGAAAGAAAGTGGAGGGGGACAATGAGAGAGAGAGACAGAGACAGAGAG